GAGCACAGCACCTGGGCCCATGGCATTTTTCTGTGTAAACCTATTCCAAGGCCTTACCAAAGGGATTAAAAAATCCAATTAAGGTATAAAAAACCCTCGGGGGATTTAACAAGACAAAACAATTTTTTCTATTGTTGGCATTTAATAGGATTCCCACTGCACGGCCTAGCAGCAGGTCCTTCCCTGTTAGCACAGTATCCGCTTACACCCCTCCACCACACTTACTGCCGTCCAAAGAGCCACGGAAATCTCAGTAGCCAGGCTAGTTCCTTCCCCTCTTCTCACACAGCCGTCCATGTACTCGTACTGCTGAAGGTACCGTGTTAATTTTTCCTTTCTATGACCTTCTTGTCTCACATCTTGGCCATGGCTGCAGGCGAGGCTGGTCCAGGCCCGTGGTGCTCCATGTGCAGAGCAGCGTTTCTGCCACCCTCCACCAGACACTCCTTAGGACATGCTTCAGGTCTCTGCAATGCTGGCACTACCTTCCCCTCCAAATAGCTGTTTCTTGGGAAGCACTATTTTTTTCAGGCTCTGTGGCCCATTGCAAGATCTGTAGGAATTGTCTCACACATTCTGCAGAGGGTGCCAGGTTTGCGTGGAGCCTCTGCATGGAGCTTCTACACCAGAGGAGAATGAATAATGATAGGGGAAGCCCTAGCCCAGCTCTTCTAGGGAAAAAAAAATGGACATTTTGAGAAATAGAGGTTTGTTCTTTTTTTTTTTTTTCTCTTCCCTTTTTCTTTTTTTTTTTTAAATTCTAGAGCCATCTCCTGCAGGGTAGTTATTTCTCTCATCCAGACTTTGAAGGCAATGTGTCTCATGCTCCTGTGAGATGGATAGAGAGATGATAAACAGGGAAGGGAAGCAGACTTTGCCTAAAGCCATTAAGGCTCTCCAGAAAGTAGGCTGGGCCGTGTGAGGGCTGAAGACATTAGCTGTCATTTTGCATGAAAATTATAGATACTCAACAGCTTAATAGTGATCCAGCAGGTTGCAGCCATTTACTTAACTGGAAGCCAAAATAGGGGAGCTGGGAGGCAGCAAAACGCTGCTGAGGATACGGTGTCTCCAAAGAGAGCAAGGGGGAGCGGAATGGCTGCGGATGTGTGGGGGTGTAAGGAGAGGAAGGACAGCGTGAACCCGCCCTTGGCCATGCACAGAGGTGCAATACAGATGTGGTGCTGCCCCAGGTTCGGGCAACGGGTCCCATCCAACATTGGGATGAGAGACAGTGCCCGGCCGGGGAGGGCGAGAAGACGTAAAACCCGCGCGTGGGGCTGAGGGAGCTGGCCCATCACAGCGCCCAACCTGCGCGTGGGGCTGAGGGAGCTGGCCCATCACAGCGCCCAACCTGCGCGTGGGGCTGAGGGAGCTGGCCCATCACAGCGCCCAACCTGCGCGTGGGGCTGAGGGAGCTGGCCCATCACAGCGCCCAACCTGCGCGTGGGGCTGAGGGAGCTGGCCCATCACAGCGCCCAACCTGCGCGTGGGGCTGAGGGAGCTGGCCCATCACAGCGCCCAACCTGCGCGTGGGGCTGAGGGAGCTGGCCCATCACAGCGCCCAACCTGCGCGTGGGGCTGAGGGAGCTGGCCCATCACAGCGCCCAACCTGCGCGTGGGGCTGAGGGAGCTGGCCCATCACAGCGCCCAACCTGCGCGTGGGGCTGAGGGAGCTGGCCCATCACAGCGCCCAACCTGCGCGTGGGGCTGAGGGAGCTGGCCCATCACAGCGCCCAACCTGCGCGTGGGGCTGAGGGAGCTGGCCCATCACAGCGCCCAACCTGCGCGTGGGGCTGAGGGAGCTGGCCCATCACAGCGCCCAACCTGCGCGTGGGGCTGAGGGAGCTGGCCCATCACAGCGCCCAACCTGCGCGTGGGGCTGAGGGAGCTGGCCCATCACAGCGCCCAACCTGCGCGTGGGGCTGAGGGAGCTGGCCCATCACAGCGCCCAACCTGCGCGTGGGGCTGAGGGAGCTGGCCCATCACAGCGCCCAACCTGCGCGTGGGGCTGAGGGAGCTGGCCCATCACAGCGCCCAACCTGCGCGTGGGGCTGAGGGAGCTGGCCCATCACAGCGCCCAACCTGCGCGTGGGGCTGAGGGAGCTGGCCCATCACAGCGCCCAACCTGCGCGTGGGGCTGAGGGAGCTGGCCCATCACAGCGCCCAACCTGCGCGTGGGGCTGAGGGAGCTGGCCCATCACAGCGCCCAACCTGCGCGTGGGGCTGAGGGAGCTGGCCCATCACAGCGCCCAACCTGCGCGTGGGGCTGAGGGAGCTGGCCCATCACAGCGCCCAACCTGCGCGTGGGGCTGAGGGAGCTGGCCCATCACAGCGCCCAACCTGCGCGTGGGGCTGAGGGAGCTGGCCCATCACAGCGCCCAACCTGCGCGTGGGGCTGAGGGAGCTGGCCCATCACAGCGCCCAACCTGCGCGTGGGGCTGAGGGAGCTGGCCCATCACAGCGCCCAACCTGCGCGTGGGGCTGAGGGAGCTGGCCCATCACAGCGCCCAACCTGCGCGTGGGGCTGAGGGAGCTGGCCCATCACAGCGCCCAACCTGCGCGTGGGGCTGAGGGAGCTGGCCCATCACAGCGCCCAACCTGCGCGTGGGGCTGAGGGAGCTGGCCCATCACAGCGCCCAACCTGCGCGTGGGGCTGAGGGAGCTGGCCCATCACAGCGCCCAACCTGCGCGTGGGGCTGAGGGAGCTGGCCCATCACAGCGCCCAACCTGCGCGTGGGGCTGAGGGAGCTGGCCCATCACAGCGCCCAACCTGCGCGTGGGGCTGAGGGAGCTGGCCCATCACAGCGCCCAACCTGCGCGTGGGGCTGAGGGAGCTGGCCCATCACAGCGCCCAACCTGCGCGTGGGGCTGAGGGAGCTGGCCCATCACAGCGCCCAACCTGCGCGTGGGGCTGAGGGAGCTGGCCCATCACAGCGCCCAACCTGCGCGTGGGGCTGAGGGAGCTGGCCCATCACAGCGCCCAACCTGCGCGTGGGGCTGAGGGAGCTGGCCCATCACAGCGCCCAACCTGCGCGTGGGGCTGAGGGAGCTGGCCCATCACAGCGCCCAACCTGCGCGTGGGGCTGAGGGAGCTGGCTCCTCACAGCGCCCGCCGCGGGGCCCAGCCCTTCACCTAATTACCAGCTCATGGTAGGTAATATCCCAAGGCCATGAGCTCAGGCGCCGCAAATCCCCCAGCGAAATCCAGCTATCTCTTGCAGCGGAGCTCCGGCAGACGCCTCCCCGTCCCTTTAAACTAATTTACGTGGCAATCTCCGCGCTGCTCCTGCCCTGATTATTCATGAGGCAATAATTCAGCACGGACACCAAGGGAGCCACAGGCCTCCTGAAAAGGCTTTTTATTCTATCTTAGAAGCCTTTAAAATAACCTTAGATGGACTAACAGAGCCATTACTTATTTGGCAATTTATTTAATTATGAAATGTGCTGGACTAATGGGGAAAAAAAGATGCCCCAACTCTATGAGCAGCATTTTTAGAAGATAAAAACCCTGGTGTTTCCAAAGAGCCAGTAGAAACACGTGATATTTCTTGATGTCACTGTGTTTGCTAATTAGACTAGAAAGGAACTAATGTTTAATTAATGTGATTCTTCTTAAGATTGTCTGCAGAATTTCTATTTGCATGTAACCTTCTCCTTGCTATGCGCTGTCTCACCCTTGTTTCAGTGACTTCCTGCTCCCTTGTAAAACAGTTTACCTGGCAAACCAGAGCCCAATGCTTATCTTCAAATACCCTCTTCCTTCAGGGTGTCCAGCAGCTAATTCTCCAGGCTGATGTATTCCCTGATTTCAAAGGCAAATGCCACCTTCTGATACCAAGCAGTCATCTCAATTTTCTTCTGCATCATTAACAAAAATTACAGCTGTCACAAGGGACAGAAGAGTATTTTTTACTCTCTGGTAGCTAGCACTGCATTTGCAACTTCTTTAACTCACTTCATCTAGGAGAAACAGCTTTTAAAAGACCCATATGCCCTCCTGGCCACACTGGAAAAGTACTCCTGGCAATGAAGATTTTGAAAGCAAACAGGATCTTTCCTTTGTGAGTTAGGGCTTCTTTAATAGCCAGTAGGACCCCTGGACAGTTCTTGGGTATGTTCCTCCTTCTGTTCCCAAGCTGAAATTCTTGCAACAGTTAAGTAAGTATTGCAGCTAGAAGATCTTCCAGGATTGGGAAAAGTAAGTAGGGTGGTCTCCACCTGTAATTAAAAATGTTAGAACTTAACGTGTCTACTTAGTGCTCACGAAAAATGCAAAGTGAGGCTTGAAATAACTGAGGAGGCACTTAGCACTGACGTGATGAAAGCTTTGGGAGCAGGACTGGACACTGCTCTTTGGCTGCGGCACCTGAGAACTGCTGGACGACACCGCTTTGGTCACGGCTTCTTTCAGTCAGTGGCAATTTTCACAGTGGTGACCCAGAGGTGGACACTTTGACGCTGGGTTAACAGCCACTGTCCTGACTGACGTGCAAGAAACAAGACCTCAAGCAGCTTTTGTTTGGGGGCTGACCCGATGGCTTGGGAGTTTGTTCTCGTCCAACAGCTGAAATGAACTTCCTAGAAATCCGGGCTTAGCACAGCGGGACAGGATGTGCAGGGAGCTTATCGCTCAGCAGCGCTAACCAGGAAAGCTGCTGCGGAGCCCAGATGGTGCTCTGAAATACCTGAGCCTAAGCAAGGGGAAATCAAACAGGAATGAGCCAGCATGGCTCTGGGATAACCAGTCCTGGGGCTCCCTGAGAAAGCAGGCGTCCAGACAGATGGTACCTGGCAAAACAGCTCAAGAGCCTTCCATGTCTTGGAAGTTTGAGTTCTCAGCTGTGTTTATGCTTCATGCGAGCTACTGGCTTTACAAAAGCTCTAGTTTTATTGGATTCGGCATGTAATGCAGAAGAGACGTGGATTAATAGCGATGATGTTTTTTCGACATGTATTTTTGACATACTGTGTTGCCCTGGCTTGTTTTCACTCACCTGAAGGACACGGAGCCGCAAGCCGTGTGACCTCAGAGGAGCTGGGATTGGCTATGCAGTGGGCAGTGGCTTTGCAGAGGTCAGAAAGGGCCTCGAAATCTTCCCGTGGCCTCACCGAGTGCCCACCGGAGCCCCGCACGGCAGCGTGGCCATCAGCACGTTCCTCCCGGGAAGCAGAGCGCTCCTTCCCTTGGGAATGAGCGAGGCGTTTGCAGGCTGTTGCCTCCACTGAAATGAACCACGATGGGAAATAAACCTCACAAAGAAATCTAGCACTTTGCAAATACTGAGGGTTTTATTTCCACTTCATGTGGTCTCCAACAGACTCTTAAACAAGACCAGTTACAATTTAGTATGCTCAGAGTTCACAATGTTTTTTTTTTCCCAAAACAAAGGAAGTTCTCTGTAAACACTGTACATAGCCAGTCGAACGGTTAACAATAATTTAAAAACTCTTTTTTTTTTCTGTATAGTCAATGCAAGAATACCAACAATAAAAGTACAGTACAGGTAAATTCACAACAATTACAGTGAAACAGATTGACTCACATTTACGTGATGGGAGAAGTACAGTAGCAGTATGTACATGCACTAAAGTGCTAGGACCCAGAGGCATGCAAGTCAAGTATTGGATGTGTATTTTACAGCTAACTCTGTAAGACTTTCTGAGGTTTTCTTCTTTTTTCTTTTTTTTTTTTTTACATTTTATTTTCTTGAGTTTACCTGTATTCCCCTCCTTCTTACTGAATACAGTTCTAGTGAACTAGCTCGAAGGCTTTCTTCACTACTTTAAAGGTACTGCTTCTGCCAGCTGCAGCATCTGTAAGACCCTTACCTTTAAAAACTGATAACACTGACATTAAAATAGAATAAAATTAAGACCCTAGTTTTACATTAAAAAAAAACCTCCCCCCAAAACCCAAACCAAAATCAAAAACATAACAGTGCAATTATAACCAAAAGGCAATTGGTATTTGGAGAGAGAGCGAGCATGTATTCAAATTCCCTTAAAACTTAATTTACATTTTATTTTAAATCTTAACTTGAGCTATCATTTTTTAACCTTTTTTTCTGTTAATATACTGTATGTAGAAAAGATGGAGACAAAAATAGTTCTCTCAGCTATGAAAAAAAAAATCAGTTATTACAGGCACATTAACTGTTTCACTCTAGAAACATCTCTGTCTCACCGGGCGGACACGCGGCGGCTGCGCCGGAGGGCGCCCG